ATAGGGGATAATGGAAAAGAAAATGGAAACTACTATATATATATATATAGATATAGATATAGGGTTTAGGGACCCAGGGCTCAAGAGGCACCTGTGCCCTGCCCCATTTCAGCTTTGGGGTGTAGGTGTAGCGTTCCATGAGCTGCCTATATGGGCATTGGGAGTAAAACCCTTCCAAGGCTTGGTATCAGATACCTTTCTCCACCATACAAAACTGAATTGTTTGAGAGGTTTCAACCTCAAAGGTCAAACTGCTGGCCAGGCAACTTGCTTTAGAGCAACAAAGGGTACCGAAAGCGTTTGGGGTTCTGTAGGAATAATGGAAAAGAAAATGGAAACTACTCTTTTATTACGATAGAAAGGGATTATTTCGGGCCTGGTATCCGAGTGCATGTTCAGCCCCAGAGTCTACTACCTTTGTATCCTAACAATACAGTAGTCTCCATTTTCCATCATTCCTATATAACCCTAAACCCGAAGAACCTTAGTAAGAGTCATGCAGACTTGTCACAACCCTGGCAGACTGCCTGCGACAGGGTGGCCGAGTACTTCACGGCCATGTTCCGCCGCAAAGCCTTCCTTCACTGGTACACCGGCGAAGGCTTCTGAGGGTCGTGACACATTGCATGCGCCTTCTGAAGCCAAAGCCTGATGCTGGAATAGAGTTGGCATGTTGGGATGTGGAGTACGCAGTGGATTCCGTACTTGGTCTTTTGCCATGCCTGGTAGAAAGCCTTTCGATGGGGCTTCTGAAGCTAAAGTTCGCCGTAGAAAGCAGACGGTCGTGTTCTGCATCTGGCCGGCTGCAGCCTTAGCAACTGGTAGTTTCCCTGAATATGGGAACCCCAAGGTACTGTAGACCTCCATATACTATAATTAATCCGTATTATTGGGACCTAAATGGTACCCCTGATTTTGGGAAACCCCCAACTGTCTTACAGACAGGCATGGATGAGATGGAGTTCACGGAGGCTGAGTCTAACATGAACGACCTGGTCTCGGAATACCAGCAGTACCAGGCAGTGAGGGCTTTGGGTCATAGCATATTGGGATCAATTAATATTGGGGCCCCCTGTTGATGGAAATACCAGGCGGGGCTTCTCATGGGTTGCATAGCCAGGCAAGTCTTCTTGCTTGTGCGGGCTTGGGAAGCCAGGGTCGAAATCTCAATATCTGGTAGATTTGATGATCCCATTGCTATCCGTTTACAACTCATTGTGCCGCAAAACCAACGCCTGAAACTTGAATTGAGCCATAGTCTAAACTCCTTAAAGGTGGGTTATATAGGGGATGATTTGGGGAACTACTATAGGGGTTATTAAGGGGGATACGAGGAGTTTAGACTATAGGTCAATTGGTCTGGTCAGGTGGCTGTCTGTGATTTGTGATGAGAGCTTCAGCAACGTCCGCAGAAGCTGATACCATGCATGTAGAGACCTTAATCTTGAATGTTCCTTGCAAAAGGGTTTCAGATATGAGTCATCCTCATCGCAGAAGTTCTGCCTAAATCGGAGAAAATCACATACGAATAGATGATAAAATCCTTGCCACCAGACTTCACAGGGGGCTCTCTGATCTGCCAAAATCTTTGAGACTCCTCATGATAAGAATCCTAAACTGAGACATGCAGACGGAAATCGTCCCCCAACGTGACAGCGGCTGTCTTTGAAGGATGCCACCGCCGAGGAGGAAGGCTGGAAATCGTTCTGCAGTACCGAAGTTTAGTTTAGCGGGGCATCGCTTGAAAAGCTGGATGGGCCAGAGCTATGAGGCTGCCAGTACAGCTACCGTTTCAGAATGCTATAGATACATGGGCTGGTTGCGTCGGTTGCGTTCCGTTTCAGGCGGAATCTCCTCTCAAGATACCGTGGCCTTGCAGGTGAGTTTGACGAGGAGGAGGGCGAGTATGACGGATGAGCGTGATGCATCGCCGACCCCATGCTTCGCTACGCAACTGTCCAGAGTGTTGCTGACCTCGACTGCACCGCATGCGATCAGAGGATGCAGCCTGGGGAATTCACGAAGGAGCTTTCAAGAATCTGAGGGGCTTGCCGCGGCGTTCAGATTGCAAGGAATTTGCTCCCTACATCTACTGGTTATGACTAAGATGTAGAAAGATGGTTTCCCATATTCGGGGTTGGCCAGCCTTGCTTTTGGAAGCTCCAACTGCCTTGCTCAAGCTTTCAAGAAGAGCTTGAAGGCCGACCTCTGCGCAAAATTGGCCTGGCTCACGGGGCTGGATTTCAATAAGCGACGGGTTCACTTGTTTTTGGGGCGAAGAGGTTATGGTGTTAGGCGATGCAGCGGTTGCTGGAAACGTCTAGAGGTTTGTAAGTTGTAAGTTAGTGCATTTCTAGGGCTTCGGGATTCAGGAGGCGACGTATGAGTTCTTTTATTGCAGACGCGTCGGATAGGATCTTGGCATGTCGGGGGGGTCTATGGCAGGATCCTAGTTTTGAGAAGTGTCCTGAGTTGTTACTGCTACAGGTGGCAGGCATCCAGATAAGAGGAAAGTTTCAACGGATTGCTCAAATACCAATAATAGTAATAATACCGAATACCAATAATACCAAAGATACTAATGATAGGAACAGTCTTTAAACCCTTAAACCCTAAACCCAGTACTTCTAGCAAAGAATCCTGAGCCTGAAAAGTCCGGAATTGCCAAACATGTTTCCTGGCCTGAAAGTCTATACATGCAGAGTGTGGCCTCTGTTTTTGTTGGCGAACTGTTACTGTTCGAGTTTGCGGATCTTCAAATGTCAAGGGTGCAGTGTGTGAGACGCTAAAGTCGGCTGCATGGCATAATGGGGCAGTCGGCTAGTTGCGTGGCGACCTTAGAAAGGAAACTACAAGCCACGCGAGACTGAGACCTGCGACACCAACAGGAGACCGTGGATTACTGCAGCGTCCCCAAAAGTTCTCAAGCAGCCCCGTGCCTTCGATCGCTTTGCGCTTCTTGCAGCCATGCGTGAGCTCGTGCACGTCCAGGGTGGTCAGTGAGCCTTGGCACGCATTGGTGTCATTCAGAGTCCGTGTGAGTGCGTTGCCTCTTCGGCTTCTTCTACTCAGCTTCTAAGTAATTACCTGTAGCAAAGCGGTCTTAGACAGCTTGAACGGACAGAGTTGCAGTACATGGCATGGGAAATGTTGTGCTTTGTCAAAATGAGGGGACCCAAATGTAGACCCCGATCTATTGTAAGCCTCATTATAGGGACCTGCAAAAAGGTACCCAGGGGACTAGTATAGTACCCGAACACGAAACTACACAGGAGTGTTTGAGTGGTGCGTCTCAAGCGCAAACCCATAGCATCTCCCATGAGACAAATTCGCATTCATCTGCAGGCGGCAACCAGATCGGTGCCAAGTTCTGGGAGGCATGATAACCTGACCTTGAGAGCTGTGTGTGTGGGGGAGGTGGTGGACATTGAATCCAAAACTCATCGTTGTACTGGGCTTGTTGTGAGAGCCAGTGGTGATACTGTTCCCACTTGTTCGCTGTGTATCTTTTCAACCTCACCCAGCCCGATGACATCTGTATTGCATGTTCTGGGCGTGACTAAGCAAAGTTAGGCCGTCGTCAAGGCCATGCTATGCTGTAAGTCATTGCCTGTATTCCCCCTAAACCCCAAATCCTATATAACAATATAACCCATTACAGTAGTTTCCATATTCTTTTCCTTGATTCCCCATATAACCCCAATATACAGAAAGATTTCAGACCCTACATTCCTGTATGGGGATAGTGGAATGTCTTCATGTCTTTCATGCAGCAGGACATGGATTTCATATCGGGCCTTGGGCCCTGCACAGGGCCACAGAGCCCCAAGCCGGTCGACTAACAAAACATCCTTTTTCGGGGGTAAAATAGGGGCCTAAATAGTTACCAGCCAATATTATATAGTGTTATATAGGGTTAAATAGGGTTATATAGGGTTACATTGGAATAATGGAAAAAATGGAAGCTACTCTATTATATCAGGGTTTAGGTGCCTAAATAATTACCTGCATTGTGGTTCCATACTCCTTGTAGAATTACAGTATATGGTACCTCAAATGGACCTCAACGTGATATTGGTACTTATTTAGGCCCCTGTAGTAGTATGTTTCAGCCCCCTGGGGTGCCTTTCTGGGACTCCTTATAGTAAGAATAGTAGTATATTGGGGTCCATCTTGGGGTCACCAGCCTTAGGAAGATGTTGGGTGTGTTCCTTAGTCATGAGTGGCTCTGTCAGGATCCCAAAGAGACACAGACAACCCTAAACCCTAAACCCTAAATAGTAGTTTCCATTTTCTTTTCCATTATCCCTATATAGCCCCTATATTACCGCCAATATACTATGGTAGTTTCCATTTTCTTTTCCATTATCCCTATATAACCCCTATATTACCCCCAATATACTATAGTAGTTTCCATGTTCTTTTCCATTATCCCTATTAATATCCCCTATAACCCCTATATCTACTGAAGGGGGGGACTGTCAGAGAAGCTTGCAGGTGATCGCCGACGAGCACGGCATCGATCCCACAGGCGTTACTTCACGCCCTCAAGCCTAAACTGGGTTGCTGTTAAGGAACTTAAATTAAGCTACCATAATGGGTATATATAGTAAATAATAGGGTTTCCCCAAAATAGTAACTTAATTTAAGTTCCTTAACAGCAACCCAGTTAAACCCACCCACAAACCTGCAGTCAACAATTGATATCAGCTGAAAGCTGGCTGTCTATTCATCACCAAATTTGAGGAGATCCTGGCCACACTAGGACGAAATAGAAACATAGCTGGAGCGCAGGCCGGATTGCATTGCTGGCATAGCTCGCCTTTGCAGCTTTCGGACATCCTTTCAGAAGCCGGAAGTTGATGTTTGGGGATTATCTGCGCCCAGGTTGAAATTCTTGACGTTCGCAAAAAGGATGAATATGTGTTTAGACTTGGAAAGACCTTTGTTTTGGCGTTCGCGCAACTGAAGCCCGAGTTTCGTATGCCACGCGCTCGCAGGTACCTACCATGGAGATTCCGACCTGCAGCTGGAGCGCATCAATGTGTTTTGGCTTTATACAAAAGGTCCATGAGGCTTGGGTTGCATAGGCGTCTTTGAACATCACAGGATACCAGTAGTCTGTGCTCTCAAGATGTGTTTGGGCCTGCTCTTAAGTCTGCAGACCGGGAACCATCAAGCCGTGACCCTGAAACCCCAAGCTCCAGCAAGCTTGCACACTGATGATTCTGGCAGTCATACTGACTTTAGGGATTGTTAGATAAACAGTACTCACAAAACAAATCATCGCCAGCTCATCACACATGAGGAGCTTTGTGCGCCACTGCCAGCTCAGAACGGCCCAGGTGTACTTCAACGAGGCGACAGGCGGACGTTACGTTCCTCGTGCGATCCTGATGGATCTTGAGCCAGGCCATCCGTGTGACATATTCAAAGTTCAGGTTTGGGATTTGCTGACAAGCAGGGCTTTGGGATGAGGATGAGGATCCTTGAGATTGCAGAGCCTTTGGCCATCGTTGGCCCTTGGATAGCCTTCGCCGGCTACTGTCACACGTCCAGTTTAAAACGCCTTCTGCTCCCAGCATGGTTGCGGGCCCTTGAAAGCTTGCAAGGCAGACCATTATCCCTAAATATAACCCCTATATTACCCCCAATATACTATAGCAGTTTCCATTTTCTTTTCCATTATCCCTAAATATAACCCCCATATTACCCCCAATATACTATAGCAGTTTCCATTTTCTTTTCCATTATCCCTAAATATAACCCCTATATTACCC